TCGAAGAAATCGTGGAAGCCGCCAGTGTTTCCTCCCTCGCTCTTTCTGTGGAACCTGCTCAAAGAAACTAAGCCCCTCCCTCAGCTATCGATGTCAATTCCAGACTCACAAACCGTAAGCAGGAACAGCTCAAGGCCCTACCCTTGCAATACGAAGATTGCTTTTCGTCGTCGTTAAAAAATTTGGCAGACGCCAATCACGAAACATCGCATCATAACAGAGGAAAATGCCAGACCACTCCGTCAGAGTTCGTACAGGGTTTCGACACAAGAACGCGAGGCTGTAAAGACACAATTTGATGAAATGCTACGGGACGACGTCATCCAGCCATCCAAGAGTCCATGGGCCTCCCCTGTGGTGTTAGTGAAAAAAAGGATAGAACACTACGTTTTTGCGTCGATTATTGCCGCCTGAACAAAATCTCAAAAAAGAACGTGTATCCTCTCCCACGAATAAACGACGCACTGGATCGGCTCCACAGTGCCAAGTACTTTTCGTCAATGAACCTCAAGACTGGCTATAGGCAAATCGAAGTCGGCGAAAGAAACCGACAGAAGGCGGTGTTTGTAACACCGTACGGCCTCTTCGAGTTTAAAGTGGTGCCCTTCGGTCTTTGCTCAGCGCCTGCCACTTTTCAACGCGTTATGAATACAGTACTGGCAGGATTGAAGTGGAAGACTTGCCTTGTGTACTTGGACAACGTCGTCGTGTTTTTCTCGAGTTTCCACGAACATCTTCGGCACCTTGAAGCTGTACTTCAAGCCATCAAGACGTCTGGACTCACCCTGAAGCCAGAAAGTACAGTTTTGCGTATGAGGAGCTCTTGTTCCTGGGGCACGGTATTAGCAAGTTCAAGAGTCCGTCCTGATCCGCGGAAAACAGGCGCCGTCACCGACTTCCCGCCGCCCATTGACAAAAAGGCAGTGTGCCAATTTCTGGGCCTGTAGGCCTATTATATGCGGTGCGTAAGAAACTTCGCCCGCATCGCTAATCCACTTAATAACTTTACCTGGGCCGAAGTGGAGTTCAAGTGGGGAACGCCACAGGAACACGCTTTCCAGAAGCTAAAACATCGCCTCCAGACGCCTCCGTTACTTGCCCATTTTGACGAATTCGCCGAGACAGAAATACACACTGACGCAAGCAGCGTAGGTCTCGGCGCCGTTCTTGTGAAAAAGGCTGGCGGACTGGAAAGGGTTATTAGTTTCGCCAGCCGATCGCTATCCAAAGCAGAAGCCAATTATTCCAAAACAGAAAAAGAGTGCCTGGCCATCATCTGGGCTACGTCAAAACTTTGCCCCTATTTCTATGTGGCAGGCCCTTCAAAGTTATGAGCGACCACCACCCCTTGTGTTGGCTAACTACCTTGAAGGACCCTTCAGGTCGCCTCGCACGACGGTGCCTGAAACTTCAAGAATACATTACCGTCGTTTACAAATCAGGCAAGAACACTCCGACGCCGACTGTCTTTCTCGTGAGCCTGTCGACGAACCACCGCCCGACGACCCGGATGACGACTACTTCTTGGGAACGCTAACTGCCGATGACTTTGCTGAGCGACAGCGAGCTGTGCCGGAACCTATGGCCCTAATAGAATATTTCGAAGGCAGGACTGCCGAAGTTTCAAAGGTGTTCACGCGCGCACTTGCCTCGTTTTTCCTGCGAAACCGTCTTCTTCAGAAGAAAAACTTCTCATTGTTTCGAGCGAAGTACCTTCTTGTGGTGCCTACAGCTCTGCGACCAGAACTTCTGCAAGCCCTGCACGACAATCCGACGGCAGGGAACCTCAGTGATTCCCGCATGCTCGCGAGGATACAAGAAAGATACTACTAGCCACGTCTTACCGCCAACGTCACTCATTATGTGAGGACATGCCACGACTGCCAGCGACGCAAAACAACGCCGACAAGGCCAGCGGGATTTCTGCAGGCAATTCGACCACCTCGCCGGCCATTCCAGCAGATTGGCGGCCCCGCCGCGGTGGTCTAGTGGCTAAGGTACTCGGATGCTGACCCGCAGGGTGTGGGTTCGAATCCCGGCTGCGACGGCTGCATTTCCGATGGAGGCGGAAATGTTGTAGGCCCGTGTGCTCAGATTTGGGTGCACCTTAAAGAACCCCAGGTGGTCTAAATTTCTGGAGCCCTCTACTACGGCGTCTCTCATAATCATATAGTGGTTTTGGGACGTTAAACCCCACATATCAATCAGATTGGCATGGACCTACTGGGGCCGTTCCCGACTTCGGCTTTCGGAGAAAAAGTGGATCGTGGTATCTACCAACTACATCACCCACTACATTGAGAAAAAAAAAACCTTGCCCAAAGGCAGTGCATCTGAGGTAGCTAAGTTCTTCGTCGAAAATATTGTCCCAGGTCACTGTGCTCCAGAGGTCCTCATCACCGACAGAGGTACGGCATCCACGGCTCAGCTAATCCAGACGATTTTGGCATACAGCCAGACAAGCCACCGCCGTACTACAGCGTACCACCCACAGACGAATGACCTCACTGAGTGCCTAAACAAGACCATCGCCGACATGCTGGCCATGTACGTCGATGTCGAACACAAGACGTAGGATGCCATCCTTCCGTACGTGACCTTCGCATACAACACTGCCGTTCAAGAAACGACGCAGATGACGCCGTACAAACTGGTCTACGGAAGGACCCCGGCAAAGACGCTCGACGCCATGTTACCCAACGTCACCGGCGATGGAAACCTCGATGTGAGCGAGTACCTTCAGCGCGCCGAAGAGGCTGAGCAACTCGCCCCCTTCTGCATCAAGAGCCAACAAATGACGGATAGCCGCCCTTACAATCATCAATGGCGCTTTGGGGAATACCAGCCCGGCGAACGTGTTTGGGTATGGACCCCCATACGCCGACGTGGACTCAGTCAAAAACTTGTGCGCCGGTATTTTGAACCATACAGGGTGATTCGACGGCTCGGCCCACTCAATTACGAGGTTGTTCCCGACGGCATCACGAACTCTCAACGATGCCAATAGCGACTTGAAGTCATCCATGTTACGCGTCTCAAGCCGTTTGATGTACATCATTGAACTCAAACAGTGTATTTTTTGTGTGTTTGTTGTTGTTTATGTCGGTATTGCTGTATCGTAAGTCAGTGCTTGTATTTTTTACATTATTTTTGCATTTTTTACAATATTTTTACTTGTGTTTACATATATTTACTTGTATTTTTCACATTATTTTTGTAGTTTTATTTTCTGCTAAAGCATTGGCACGATGTCTTTTTTCAGAGGAGGCCAATGCCACGTACCTTTACTCAAGTTTTCTTATCGCCATGTTGCACTATGTTCAGCGCAAACCACGCCTACACTGTTAGAGAAGCTTCGAGGCTGATCATTATAAGGTTACGCCCACTTCGTGAATCTTTCAGATTATTCTGCAAACAACATCGCCGCTTGCAATAACATTCAAATGTTCTATGGCAAGTGCATAAATGCAGGCACGCTTCGGCACTTGTCAGTTGATCAACGGCCGACGCTCCGTTCACGGCCATCTGTGCAAGACTGCTACTGTAATACGACTTTCCGTTTATCGGCACAGGTTCACCCAAATAAACAGTTGAATCCGAACATAAAATCTACTGTCTTCGGCCACGTACCGACTTCGTGACAGTATCATGAGAACTATATATGCACTTTATGGGTAATAGCTGCTACATGTGCAAAGGCGATGGGCCTAAGTAGTCTTTGAGGTACTGGCCGACCAGTTATGTAGCACAAGATTGATGTATCAATGAAAAATAACTGAAATACGTTTAATTGGCTTTAAACAAACTGTCAACAGTTCGCCTAAACATGAAGTGCTTAAACGTTACTTAGTTCAAAGCATGAAGCTCGAATATGAACTGTCCATCGAAATTCATCAAGTCCCATCGGTTCCTGAAATCTGTAGCAGCGCTGTGAGAGTAGCGACGGTGTTTTTGTTTTTTCGCAAAATCGTAAGAACATGCTTTATGAAGAGTTTCATTAGCAATAAACGCCAGTGGCTGTGTAGTGGCGTCACCTGGTGGTGAAATTGTATTGGATGACACCTTTTATCACCGTAACAAAATGAGCTTTGCTGCTTTCGCAAATGTCTGAGAGTAACCTAATAAGCAACATGAGGCCACACTGCCGAGTCTTGTCTACAAGCGCGTGCGCTTGTAGACAAGACTATGTGTGTGTGTGTGTGTGTGTGTGTGTGTGTGTGTGTGTGTGTGTGTGTGTGTGTGTGTGTGTGTGTGTGTGCGTGCGTGCGTGCGTGCGTGACAATGACGCCTGAGATGCACAAACAAAGTGATCGAATTTGAATGTTGGGAATGAAGACTGCGCCAGCCGAAAATATGAGAAAACGTGACAATCCATAACTATCAAAGGTTATTCGTGGAATCAAAAATAAGTTTTATTGAACAAACAAAAATACAGAACGTTAAAAAGACTTCATTTCCGACGGAAGTTCCTTGTATGATTCCGTATAGAAGATGGAATGCAGGCCAGCCAGATGGCCTAAGCCTGTGCGGAAGGACAAGATATATTGCTTACTGCATAACACACAAATTCTTTTTCGCATGGGAAGAGCTCCTTTCAAAATTCTATTCCTCTTAGTGCACAAGCCTCCTCGTGATATGCAAACATAAACAGCAGATAAAGACTATCTGAAATGACAAGCAACGTTGCTCTAATCAACGTTCGACGTCAATGCATTGCAGAGCCGACCACATCTGAAGTGAAACGCCTCCTTAGTATTCAAGCTCGTAAAACAACGTTTATTGTATTTCGTGAGGGAAAAGACCCTAATATAGCGTCTAGTCATCGCATCGATGTACGCAGTAATGATTTTTAATTATGTATGAAACGTCAGTTTCTCTGAGACCGTGAATACTAACAAAGTATTTAATTAAATGTGGACGGCCCTGTATATTTACGTTTTTTTTTTTGTTGTGAGGAGTCTGTGGGTACAGCAGGCAAATAGTTTCACAGATGCGCTCAGAGTAAAGAAGTTATGTTTATGAGGCAATTATTCTAAGAAATCGAATGACTGAAGGCCTATGACGGTAGCTGCTTCATTTGTAGCATACCCAGTGTAAATAGAAATGCTTCGTTAGTAAGCAAAGCCATGTGAATGTCAAAAGTAAAATCTCCTGAAGAAAAAAAAACAGAATGCTAATCTCGAGAAAAGAGTGGCAAGTTGAGATATTTGGAACAAGTTCATTGTATAACTGCGCAAAAACGAGGTGAGAACATTACTTAGGAAAGCACAAGCAGGTGCTCAGTCTCAAGTGAAGCTTTATTTTAAGAAGCAAGCCACATATAAAAGACAAGAAAAAAGCAACACACCCTTTGCCCTGCCTTTCACTTTTCTCGTCCTTCGCATTTGGCTTACCTGTTGAAAAAAATCATCAGTTGGACATGCTTGTGCATCCCACTTTTTTTGTGTACTCATCCGTTTTTTGCGCCGTAACACCTTTTCTAAAGAGAACATTAACCTGATTTTTATTATCACTGTTTTTTATTAGGTTTGACCAACTTTTTGCGACAAGATTACTCTGCGGAAGCAATACAGAGCAATATTGTTGCCGAAGTTGAGTCACCTATCAGAACATCAATGACCGTAAGAGTAGACAAAATGAAAATAACAAACGCCATTAATTGTTAAATTTGGATGCGTTAACAAAGCAAGTTTACCGACCGTCATCCAGTTTTTCTAATATGTCGGCATTTAGACGAGATCAATATTCATGCGAAAAATGCCATGCATCATTCTAATTTTCAAGCAATCGAGGTAAGGTTCGTTGCGGCAGCTTTCCCTGGGTCTTACTTTTCATCCTTATTTTCAGTTCCACCTGCAGCTGCAGTCCTCGCCGACACAGAGTCCCCTCACTCCTTCCTTTCCTTTGTGATCCCTAAGGCACAACGCCTCGCAAGTAGACGCTTCACAGTCTGCAAGGACGAAACATGGTCACTACAAAGCAAGCGGTTCTCTGCGTGCTCGAATATCACCCGTACAGGCTTTTACACAAAATGTTGTGCTTATTTCGTTTATTTCAATATTTACCTAATCAATAAAAAAAGAAGTAGCATGTTAGTCTGTTAAGTAAGAATCATGCAAGAGGTTTACAGCGTTATTCATGTCAACTGATTAGAACGTTAACAATACCTTCATATCATAGCGGCTGTACGCCACGACTGTATGTACCTACCATCAGGCAACATGAACAGGCTAGTGTAACTGATTTTGATTTTGAACTTTTCCCTTTCGCACGATACAGCTCACAACGAAAAAAAATTGGGAGGAAAGGAAAGTGCGCATCTATTCGGCTTTACGCTCAAGGCTTCTTCGAGGGGAAAACCTTTCAGAAACGCTTTAGCACGCTGAACGTTAAAAAAACATTCCAAATGACCCCAACATAAATCCCTGTTCCCCTCCGTCATTGTGGTAATGTCGTTCGCACTCTTGTCATTTTTCTCAGTATCTTCATATAACCCAATGCGTCATTGTTTCGTTTCTCGTGGTCATCGAATACGATTTACATCGATGACTGTGCGCAATTATGTGTGCATAGTACCGCTCTCTTACTATCTTATGTTTTCTATTTGGTAGTGTAGTGAACCAGACGCAGGAAAGAAGTGTTAATCAGACGAACTGATTTTCCACGATCTACTGCGGTCTAGCCTACTGATACTGGTGCCCTACTAGAGATGTTGGTGAAAAGCAACTCAGAATGTTCAGCACGAGATGAAAAAAAGAAACAAGTTCTCTATCTCAAACAAGATGCGTGAAAGATAATTTTTCAGCATAACAATATATACAGGTGGTAAACAGTCGGGGAAAAAGGGAGAAACGGCGATACAAGAGTAAATGTGTTGTGCATGTCTTCTTCATAGAAAAAATAAAACATCTAACAATATTCAGTCCCACAACATGGCCACGTAAGAAACACTGAAGGGCTCTTTTTTTGGTAAAAGAGAATTTAGTCAACTTATTCTAGTCGCTTCTTAACTTACTAGAACGAAACTTTCACAATGTGTAGTTGTTATGATGTACTAAGTCGTGCCTGTTATTATACTGCTGTAAAAGAGGGGCAAGTGAAATGGTCGTATCAAACAAAATGAAGGGTTCTTTCTTATAGGTCGTACATACACTAACGTTTATTAGTCTTTTTTTATTTTGATTCAGAGCAGAAGACAAAAATAAGCCATCCGTAAAGGTACAATATAAAAGCACTAATACCACTTTAGTGGTAATTCAGGTAAATGTGCTACTGGATGGGCCCTTAAGTAAAGCACAAAAACCAGGAACACCTTTACAAGAAGGAAAACAATCGTTTGAGATAGTCTTTTTTTCTGCAGAAAACTAGATTGAAATATATACACCTAAGCTTTGTGCATGTACAAATTTTCGAAGCCGTGCTGCCGTTCACATCTGACTACATCAAACACAGTGACTGGTCACAGCTTATGCATATTGAGCGGATTACGGAGCTTGTCTTACAAACACTGCTTCAATAATTTTGGCGAAGAGAGGCAGCACTGTGTCTCATGGTACATATCTAATGACATCATCTAATCATGGCGAAATTTATATCATTTTAGTGGTTACATCATACCGCCCTCCTTCTGAAGACCACTTAGAAACTGCGCCGAGATGGTGCTTTTACAGCCGAGGGGTAATGCTACGCAAGTGTCGCATCAAGGGTGAACCATTCTGCGTACAGACACAATGAAGAGGACTGGCTTGCCCACTGTGTGTGCTGTGCTTAGTTTTCATCGGTGTCAATACACTCACAAATAGTCACGTATCGTCTCATTTTACGCAACAATTTTTTTGGACATGTCTCACATGCTCAAATGATATTGTTCTATATTGAGCGAAATAGTAGATTCACAAGAAGTAAACAACAATCTCATGAGAGATGTGTAAACTTATCGGATTCAAGAACGCTTACACTCATTTCTCTTTCATGTGACACTGTATCAGGACATGCATGTTTGTGCACCTAGAGGTTGGCATTTTTCTGAACTTACAGTTATCCCACTTGCAGAAGCATTCGTGTCTGATGCAATTCGCCTTGAGGTTCAGCTTTCCGCGCTTGGTACGCAGACAGCTTTGGTAGCATGGCATTTGTCTGCATGCTGTAAGCGTTCAAGAAGTCAATCATAAGGCCATTAGTACACAACCAATTGTTCTACACAAACATAGAGCTCACAAAGTGAGCACGTTTGTACCATACTTGAACTCCTGCGGTCAATCGAAAACATTTGTATTCTGAGATACCTATCTCCATTAAGGTATCAAGGGCAGCGAATTCATCATTAGTTGAAGTACCACGTCATAGCGTGGAAGCTTACCTAAATTATTGCGAGACTCGGACTCGGGTGTCCTCAGAGTGAAGTTTTGCACAGTTTATTACTTTGTGGGAAGAGGAAACGCAATATATCTTTTATGAAGTGCTGAGTTCTCATGGCTACACTTTTATTCTCTTCATTGGCACGTATTATTGAGACGTTACAGCATGCAAAAATCTGACACACTCGTGTCGACGTCATTCCGGCCTTCCCAGGTGGTCACCAGAATGACAATATCTACCGTACAATATATGAGACTTTGAACAATGCACATTCATGAGACCATGTTTGCAAGTTTTTCTTGGCGACGAGCATGCTAAGCATTTAGTACATTAGTCACTGCAGTGTGTAAATAGCTTATTTACAGAGTTATCAAAAGCAGTTCGCGATAAGCATGCTGTACTTCAAAGCTTTGCAATCAACACTGTCAGTTTTATTGTATGTTCATGTGTGCATGCATTTTTCCTATTCTACACTTTAACAAAATATCGAGTAAAAAGGGTGTCTTTTTGTCCCACAACAATAATCGTCATCAGGCTTGCGTGAGCTTCTTTTCTTGAAAACTTGGCGCTGGCCACTTTCCTATCGAGAATGCCATGTAACCCTGATAATGGGCATGTCGATCATGACCGGAATGTACTTGGCGCGGGGCGATAGCGCAAGGATGGAACGCAATATAGATGATGATTATTGTTGTGGGACAAAAAGACTCCCTTTTTACTCGCTCTTTTTTTAGAGTGTACTGGTTCTGAACATGATTGTACCTCAAAATAGGAAGGCTTAGGCGTCAAACGCTCTCCTTAATTCAATTCTTCTCAGTTTAGGCAAGGGTACATTTCTCTTATCACTTTGTATAAATATTTCGACATGTGTGGAGTGTGTTATGCTTGATTTGCCGAAGACCTGCTATTTATTTTTTGTGATTATTTAGAGTGCCTATAATGTTTATTCATTAGTCGCAATTCTCCTGAATGCTAAGCACACTTTGTCTACAGTGTCATCGTCTTGTGTCTTCAACATGACATATCGTTTTCATGTATAATATGGTTCTCAATTCATAACTATGTATCAGGTTTTGATGCGTCAAGTTTATACTGACTAACAGCTACGCTAATTTATTGATTGCCACAAACATCCAGAGAATTGGAGTTGGGTGAGTTGGTATTGATTAATCGGTCAATCCGAAGTCTAGTCAGAGACGAAGAAAGCAAAACTATTTGAGTGTAAGATTTCAAAACGTGTACTTGAAACACAAACGACACCTAAGCACATAAACTTCACAATCACACCTTGTGTTTACTAAACACATGGTCGCATGACACACCACGACCCGCTATTAATTTCACAATTATATTGCAAACAAAAAGCAGTGTCACAAAACCCTAAAGTCAGATACTAGAAATTTACCAAAAACATGAATAATAAAAGTTCCAGTCAGGCCTCCATATGAAAATGAGGCGAAAATTTTCTGTTCCTGCGCAGCACGTGTCGCCAAGGTTTTCTTACGCAGTTTTTTGTTGACCGTATAATTGTAAATGAAGTAGTCGGTCACTGCGTCTCGATGCGACCACGTGTAACTACCACCAGGGGTGCTGGTGATGATGATGTGCCTAAGTGCCATATCTGTTATAAATAAACCACTCTAAAGTTGGCCCTCACGTTGTTTTGGTCTTGCTGTTTTCGTCCCTGTCTAGAGCTGCGCATTGAATGAGTACTATAAACAGTTCTAAAGACCCTTTCATTGTCTTGTATTACATTTCTTTTGAATTTTAACAGCATAGATGCATAAGCTGGTTGCAATCTGTCCAACAAAAAAAAAACAGCCCCGCGATGAAGTCCCCGCACTTTGCCTAGCCACCGGTTGCACACGTGTGCGTCTGCTTCACTAGAACGCACACTGCTCCGCCACCAGCCCGCCTGCTTGGACACTGCGCAAAACCACTCGGTTACTCCAGGTGTGTCATCATCACGGCCAACTGCGCACGAGCTACTTTGTTCTGGATAAAGTTGCCCCGTGGAGGAGCCATGTGGCGCCAGGCCCAGCCGTTGAGAAAAAGGTTCGCACTTTGCAGAAGAAGCCGCTTACGAAGAATCGCGTTGCGGTGCTGAGCGAAACTGTTGGACACGACTTCTTCTAAGTAGTGCACGACTTCATACGGCCGAAACGGTGACAGGCAACTGTGCTGCACTCGACTCGGACTAGACATCGTTTGGTACTACTTTGTATAACTGGTATCGCTTTGCATAACCATAGCCAGCTAGGAACCGATCAGCTCCGCTGCACCCTTAGCCTTGGGCCGTGATTGCTGGGTTATCCCGGCATTCTTTCCTAATTTGTGCCCCATGTCATTACAGAACGACACTTTGCTGTACTTACGTATCACTTTACTAAATAAATGACAATTAGGCCGGGAAATACACCTTCACCGCTGGGCCTCGACTGGAAGCGTTACTTATTTAAAGCCAGACAAAAAGGCTCAGTTTGATCCTTCTATCAAACCTTTTGATAGGCTAATCCTTTTATGAACTGACTACAGAATTGGTTGAATGTGAGCCTCGAGTGCGTAGTTTCAAGCTACATTTAGTCTCCTCATTTTTTTCTTTGTCATGTTAACGAGAGCATAACTTTATTGAAGTAATTTAGATCTCTTTTTTAATTCACTTACTAGTCAATCTGTTAATGCGAAGTCTTCGCCGTCAAATTTATAGCTTTGTTCAATAAAAAAAAACTGAGTCATACGGCTTTCCTAATGTAACTTTATGGCTCCGCCGTGGTGGTCTAGTGGCTAAGGTACACGGCTGCTGATCCGCAAGTCGCGGTAGCGAATCCCGGCTGTGGCAGCTACATTTTCGATGGAGGCGAAACTGCTGTAGGCTTGTGTGCTCAGATTTCGGTGCACGTTGAAGAACACCAGGTGGCCCAACTTTCCGGAGCCCAGCACTACGGCATGCCTTCTAATTGTACGTTGGTGTTGTGACGTTAAACCCCACAGACCATCATTACTGTAACCCTACGTTGTATACGTTCCTAATAATCGGCGCAGCACTTTGCACAACGAGCATTGCAAGCAACAAGGTGATCCAAGAGACGTAATGCTTCTCCCGCCGTTCTCCTTCACTGTACAACCGCGAGGTAATACTACGTAGTCAACCTAACCAGCAGCACAATGAATGTAAATGAGAAAGGTAGCTCGTATCATGCATCAGTCAATTATTACAGGAGAAATCCGGGAATTCCCCTGAACAAAGGCGAAAAAAATAGTTTATTCAGCTAGCTTTGTGTAAAAACACTGGGGCTCTGAGAGACACCTTTTTAGAGGGCTTCGCATTTGTTTTGGGCGATTCTGAACTATTAACATGATCCGAAGGATAAGTACAGAAATCTCAGTGCTTTACCTGAGAAGCTCGGCCGCCAAAGAAAGCAATCGCCGCAGAGTTCACGAGCTCTTCTCAATGAGCAACCATGAAGGCTCAAATGTCAGAACGTGCACCAGGCCTCCGTTATCGCCTGTGTTTTTGTACTCTCGTTCATTCCAATTTTCATCAGTTGAAGTTTTGCCTAAACCCACACATGAACATGGAGTACGTATCCAAAGGTATGGACGCTTGTTCATCGAATTCACTAAAGTTCTTTCTGCAAGGCACAGGTGGCACCAAAGCTATTACCCCAACAGAGAGCTTTCATGCTATTGAAAATATTAGGTTACGCTAAATATAAGCCGTATTTTACAGGATTAAAAACACTCATTGAGGAAATATAGTCTCATAAAATTGATTGAATTCATAACACGCATTACTTCCTGTAGCAGGTTTTAAAGATCATTATTTATGCCACACCAGCTGCAGTGAATATCACAGGTCTTCTGACTTTCGCTTTCAGTGCCCCTCTCTCTGTCTCTCATGCCACTACACTATTTTAGGAATAAGCCTTGTCATTCAGGCAAAGCTCGTGATCTTCGCGGTAACTCAGAGTCGTTTCTTACGTTCTCGATACTCGCAGTTGCAGCCGTCACCATCGCAGCGTCCCGTCACGTCAAGCTTGGTGGCTCCATAGTGCTCCTCGCAGATCTGCTGGCATCGCTCCAGGCTGCAGTCTGCGCGGACACATTGAAAGATCGTGAGCTTCATAGTGCGCACTTCTATTATGTACTGCCACGCCGCGACTGCGTTCGCCTGATGTTTTTGTCACGGGCAAAGACGCAATGTTACGCGGTGCTTTTCTGGCCTTTCTTTGCCCCATTGTCCTGTACCTTAAAAACAGCGTACGGGCAGTACATGAGTGACCATTATCAGACTTGTCGCTAGGTAACGGAACTACTAATGCTTTATAAGAATGGCTATTGGTGCCGGGGGCAGCTTTCGTGGTTCCTATATAAAGCCATTTCAGGTAAAACGAAGTTGAATTCAAGAAAGTTTTGGTGCCATAAGTTTTATCTAAAGTTCAGCAATTATGCGATAAACAGAAGTCAAAGTCAACAAAAAAGCAGCTTTCAGACGTGAGGACCAAATGTATTTATAGCAAGCAACTTTGTATTTGCATTGAAGCGCAGGCCAAACACACACAGTGTTTCGCCTTTGTAATTGCGTTTTCATTATTATTATTATTATTATTATTATTATTATTATTATTATTATTATTATTATTATTATATTATTATTATTATTATTATTATTATTATTATTATTATTATTATTATAAATTTCTCATGTGACTATAATAATTGTGAATGCAAACATGAGGGACGCATATACAGACAATCCTCGGAGCCTGTTTGCCAGCGAAGCTTAAGCACACAACTTCGGTAGTGAAAATTCTGTTAGAGTCCACAGCACTTTCACATCACCTACGATGCACTGCTGTGTATATGCACGTCTCCCGAATTGAACTCTTTGATTCATTCGTTACCGATCTTTCAAATCACACACATCCTGACCACAATACTCATCAGCTCAGGATAGAAAGATTGAATTAGGGAAATTTTTAGCATCTGGTGTTGTCCTCTGTTGTCACCTATTCCAAATCGTCACTTTTGGCTATCGTTTGCAGCTTGTTTCAGGCTTATTACTCTAGTGCACTTCCTCAAGTGCTGTGTGAGCTGTGGGTTACACTTAAACTTCTGTATTCATGCCATAAGCCCCTCGCGATTTCGGCGAAGTGCTTATTGTGAACCAAATGAAGTCGTTCACTCATGCACCTCACTTTTTTTTATCGATGACCTATGATAACATTTTATTCTTCAGTTCACTTGTAGCAACTGGCACTCTATTTTTTTGAACTCATGTGGAACTCATGTAGCTGTGTACAAATAACTTTTGCTATATCCGCTAGTAAATTCTTCACTGAAGTGTTACAATACGTTTCTAAACTACTTTCTCAATAGCTGATGGCAGGTTACCAAGGTGTTCAAGACGTAGATAGAATGGTAGCGGCACTTAGTGACGTTTTGTGCAACTTTGATGCCGTTGAAACTGTGTTCAGCAGTGCCAGTGTTATTCTAAATAAAAACATGAATGTGCTGTCAGTTACTATTTCACTGCCCACGTTTAGCACCAACTGCTTTCAATATTAGCTTTTTGTATCTCAAGTTGATCTCCGCATCATCAGATGTCCCCAAGAGCGTTGTTCTTCCCGTGTACTTATCCAGTAACTGTAAATAAGAAAGAGCGCTAAACCTCTTCTAAACCTCTCCAGTCAAACTACTTTGTAGAGGTACCAATTAGGTACGCCAAAAACGACACAGTAGTTCAATTTAAACACAAACATGCTTTCAGCCAAATTCATTATGATAATATGATTTCAAAACATTTGGAAACGGCAACTTGAATCTTTTTTACCTATTTCGAAAAAATCGTTTGCCTGATATGGCCCACTATTCCGATCAGCAAAGCCCACTGGGCACACTGTCATTTTATACTTACCGGACACAGACGTCATGTGCCATGTTCTTGTTACGGGTGGCATCTTCATTTGCTGTTGTTGGCCGCCACTACTGCAGTGTTTGCGTAAAAAAACGCGCAGATTTTAGTGAGCAAGGTAGAGAACACTTTACAGTTTCCCTTACCTGTACTTGTATCTTACGTATATTAGGTCCTGTTTTGATACCTACACACGTCAGTTCATTGCAGACCGAGTCACTTTCTTTTCGGCTAAACTCTTGGCGTATTCATGGTTAACGTGTAATATTTCATAAGTACGGCCGCCCAGCGACATAATTCATATGTGTTTGGGTGACCATCAATATAGAACAAGGCGTCACAATCGAGCGGTTGAAAAAATAAATATGTTAATATTATACGTTTACTGCTCTAACAAAAGGAGATTTGTGAGCCCATAGGCAGTTTTTAGAACGAATCACTGCGCACACTCACGTTCTGCAGAAAAGAAGCGAAAGAGTAAGCTTCCTCAATTTACAGAGGAGGACTATATTCTAAACGTAGGTACTCAAACATTAGTTTCTGCATTTGACAATCAGCAAAAGCTCATTTGAAGATGACTCATTTATTTCGCTATCATGCCAAAGTAAATCAGGCTATGAAAGACGCGGTAGTGGAGGACTGCGGATAATTTTTACCCTCTGGGTTCCTGTAAGACGTATTGACATCACACAGTTAGCACTAACAAAAAAAGGGCCAAGAAATTGTTAGTACCTGCCACATTTACCCCTTTCATTTCAGTTTTTCACGTCTCGCTAACGTTTCAGGACTAGAGATACATCTGACAGGTAGTATACTTTTTTTTATTCCTCAGGCTGTCGGGATAAGTAAAGCTTAACACCCGCGTGCGTGACAGTTGAGTGCATTTTACTCCCTTCACAAGCCTGAGTGTGTTCTGTTACACTTGGGACACTTTTATAGGGAACTCAAGGAAGCTATAATTACCTTGATCGGGATCAAATAAAAGTTTTGTGCTTCATTATTACCGGTCATCCGTACAACTCACACTTTACCAAAACGGAGCCTTATAATGGACTTAAAGTTTCAGTTAGTGTATTGTCGCATAGAGGCCTTGGTATTGTCTGCGTGCGTGCATCTGTGTGTTCCTGTTTAGGACTTGTTGGTACATTAATTATTGCATTGTTATTTGAAGACGTCATTGCGATGTGCATTTAGGTAAACGACGTGAAGTAATAAGCAATTATAACTAGTGCAGCAACATGTATTCCTCACGGCGTCTTATAGCCTGAGTCACTCTGGGACGTCAAACTTCATGAACCAAAGACGAGTATTATTTCGCCTTTTTTTTTACTAAACGTATGCTTTTGTAATGAAGCCGAGTTTGTATGAGAATGCCAATGGCAAACACAACCTCAGTAGATAATGGAAAAAATAAACCAACGGTAAACATATACGAAACTGTCCTGCGCCTTATCATGTGGAAGATATAAACCCACAGGCGTATTCCACGAAATAGTGATTGATTTCACTGACAGCACAGATTTCAAAAATAAAATGCTGCGAGAGTGAGACACTAGCCACATTCGCAGATAATGTCTACGTGGAAGCGGAAACACTTAGTAGCGGCTAGAACTTCAGTGAAAGGAATAATTTCAAAAAGCACATACGTGCTTTTAGAAATTATTCCTTTCACTGTAGCTCTAACCACGACTAAGTGTTTTCGCTTCCACGTAGACATTATCTGCGAATGTGGCTGGTGTCTTACTCTCGCAGCATTTTATTTTTGAAATCTGTGCTGTCAGTGAAATCAATCACTATTTCGTGGAATACGCCTGTGGGTTTATTAATGGCTAATATCTGTTGAGTTATGTAATTTTGGGAAAGGTAACCTTGGGCATCACCTGTGGTAGTTTGTACATTTAATTCATATTATTAATTGTAGCCTTCAGTGGCGCACAGTTATTGCTGGCAATTTCACCAAATTGCACAGGGAGCAACGCAAAAGAGTCCGAACAGTGTTGTGAATCTTCCCGACTACTTTGACGTGCCTCTTTTTTTTATTGGCACATAATAAAATTCTTTCCCCTAATGGACACTTATGAACGAGTGCTACTCAATTGGTACAATTAAAACATTTATAGACACAATGAGCCTTGAGCCAGTGGACCCTACTTCAAACTCCCTGATATGACCAAACTATGTGTGGTTTCTTGCTAACTCTGGGTGACCTTACGTGCTAGGGCCAATTATCATTATCATGTGGCTGGGCTGATATTACCGTCTTGTCTAAACAAAACCTACATGGTAGTCATTTTCAATTATGTTATATGTTTTGTTTGCCGCGAAAATGAAAACTGAGTGGTCTATTAATTTTTTTATGATTTATCTATTTATTCATTTATTTATAACAATACTGCTGGTCTGATTTTCAGACCTTAAGCAGTATTGGGTGCAAGTAAATAAAAAAATGATAACAATAAACACATATTAGGCTTTGCGGCAATAACGAAACCTCAGTTAGCGAATACATGAAAAGAAGTGTCGCGAATGATAAACAATAAAGAACATTGGGTTAGTATAATGGCAAAAAATAGAGAACTCATACAGAAAAGCCAACAACATATATATATAACTAGTGAAAACATCGATGCATATATATAAGAAAAAACAACATTGTCAGGGTTCATGTATAAACTACTTCCGAGCTTTGTGTTATGAATTGAAGGGCCTGGAGGTAGCATGATAGAGACGGGCATTTCACCACAGTAGAGGGAAGCGAATTCCATTTGGTTGCAGTTTTCGGAAAACAATACTCTAACATGTTGCTGTGACTAGAAAACTGTGTTACTTTATTTATTATGATGAGAATACTACTCATTTTGCAATCTGCACACGGTCAGATGTGTCCCGCGATGCAATTGTTCATTTCACTTGTACTCAGTGTGTAAACGAAAGCGAAAATTTGTCGAAAAGTTGTTTTTTGATAATCCTACTTTTTTTTCCTCCAGCTTCACTTTATATACGTTTATTCTCTATCCAATCAACGTGCTTCGTTTTTTTATTTATTTATGTCTTAGTTACCATGAACGATTAACCAATACCTCGCTGCAGCTGTTTCAGTATCTCTTAAAAAGTGTCACAGAGCGCATCGTTTCATCCCAATACTTGTTTGCGTGCCTCAATATTTTTTATTGTGATGGAATGTGGTTGAATTGGATCACTGTGCAGTGTTGGCGACATTTGGTGGAAGCATACGCAGGGCTAGAAAATTATCTGTGAACAATCTTTGATTGCTGTCCACACGACCTCAAACTTGTCCTATACTCTCTCTCGGCACACTCAGCCTTAATCGACTGTGATTCTGATACACTACGCCTCAGCCTTCCTGCGTTGTCTGTTGCCTGTCGAACACCCATTACACTCTAGAGATTACTACTTTTGTTCGCCTGCAGCCCTCGATACGTCACTCAGTATGTCTGTTTGGTATCACCGCCTGTAATTCTTAAGGGCAACTATATCGCTACACTGGTAATTAACGTACGACAGACGCGAAATGTTATTGTGCCACTCATAGTAACCACAATATGAGTTAACTATGTGTTAATTCCGTTCCGCAAGCTTGACATTGCATCCTTAGCAATTCCGGGTCAGATGTCACTTGACTTATTCACCTTCATAACAGATAATTACGTCAATGGGGATTTTACGCATGCAAGATTACGCTCTCTTGATCCGACATTGTGCTTACAATTTCCAACAAGGCTACGACGGGGTGACGCTAGTGTTCTGTGCAGACTATGGTCGGGCGTCGTATTTACCCATGCGTACGCATTCCGCATGGCAATGGCCGACACGGCCGCCTGCGTACACTGCTCAGAAAAAGAGACGACGATTCTACACGTCCTGTGCGATTTCGCAGAATATACCATACATAGGCAATCTTTTTTAAATATATTCAGCACGTTTGATCACAGAGAAAAGTTTACTACGCGATCGCCCAGGCTCATATTTGTAAGAGAAGGCCATGCATGCTAATGGGCTTCTGCAAACAACTGACCTGTCTTAACCACCCTGAGTGGATCGATTTTGTGTGTGTGAGTGCGTTTCTGTGTTGTTATATATATATATATATACATATATATATATATATATATATATATATATATATATATATATATTTCAATCCCTTAGGTAGCAAACCGGATTATAGGTTCTGGTTAACCTCCCTGTCTTTCTTTTTCTCTTTTCTCTCTCTATCTCGCTCTCCGTCATTGTCACTACCATAACTGCTTCCTATTGACCTTTTATGGTAACCAAGTTGCGACAGCGATTTTCGAAAGATAATTGCATCAGGCCTTTTTCCTGACCAGGTGAACGCTGTCGGTCAGGTTTCAACTTCATATCACGTTCGTTACCCCTGAAGCTCTTCACCAGTTCGAGTTCAAGCTTTATGGTCTCTACAACGGCAATGTGGTCTTTCGGCGAATGTGGATATGATGCTTCAAGGATTTCAGTGGTCGACCTGTTTATGGTATTTGACCAATATCCTAATATGGTCATACACTTTTTCAACTCACGTTGAGTGGCTTTCGACTATTATATAATCTGTTACTACCTGAAGAAACGTGGCTGATCCTCTCATATAGAAATCAGTATAACATGAAAGTCGAACGTGTCTTCATAGAGATAGTTGAGGTTCTATTGTGCATTTTTGAGCAACAGTAACAGATTGCGAAGTCACGTGAAGACCGGCAAGCAACTCTAAACTTACAGCGCACACGTCAAGCAGAAAGCAAGCACGAAATTAGGATACGCAGAACGTGCGTGGACTGAAAACTGTTGCAGCTCGACAATTTAGGCGTGCCGTTCAAGCCGAAATAGGCGCGAAACAAAGGCACAAGTATACACGGGACAAGCGCGAACAACTGTCACGACGCTTACTTCGTCGTGAATCAGCAGCGCGCTCCTTTCCTAAAGCGGCCGCGCAAGTGAGCGAAGTGACCTTCATGCTCTCTCGAATTACGAGTCTGACGAGAGAGCGCGCTGGAGACCACGCTCCGTGAAGGGGTTGCTATGACCAATAGAGCGCGTCCAG